TATAGAAAAGAAGGAGCTGTCAGAAGGAGTTTCACAAATACTAATGCTATTGAAAGAACAAAAACAACTAGAATCATGCAAGTTATTTCATTGTATGCCTTTTTGTATGAAAATCAATAATTATTGCATTATTTATGTAGATGATGTGTCTAAATTAGAAATTGCCCTTCAACCAATGGCAGATCTTTGGTATCAGTTAGGGAATCAGTTGAATGTTGAAGTAGAGGAAATACAAGAAACAAAAGACACAAAGGAACAAATGAGATCTTTATTACAACTTTGTTCTGATACAGGAGTGACAATGATGCAATTGGAGGAAGCTTTAGAAGCGCTAGACCAAAAAAACCTAATACCTGGTATACTTAACTTTTATAATTTATTGTGTTTAGTGTTGATCTGAAGGTTTGCAGGAATTATCAAAAGAGCTTGAGCCAGATGATAAGAAAGAGCAACGTGAGTAATGTTATTGTTTGGAGTCCTACATGACATATACAATAGCCTTGACATTATGTTGATGCTGAAATAAAATTTTGTTCAATTCTAACTTAAAGCATGTGTCAAAAGGTCAATTCACCAATGCTTTTGATTAAAAATTGACAGTACATTGGCCAAGCGTCATATTATAAACCAGTCTTTAATCTACATTATATATTTAGAACTTAAATTTGAGACTAAAGCTGATGAATGGAAAAGTATAGTTGCTAGTCATATAACTGAACTATTAGAAAGAAAGAAACAAATAGAGGAACAACATTTCAAGGAGAAACAGATCACTAAAAGTAAGAGAGTATCAAATGAGCATTATATGAGAGAGTAAGTACATGTGATAGAACTTAAAAGAAAAGTTGCTGATAATGAGAGGTATATTGCCAAACTATTGAAGGAGAGGGAGCAACTGCAAGAGAGAGCCACATCCTTAGATCATATAGAGAAACAGCTTACTGAAGGTTAGAGTATTGTCGTCATGTGTTTATATGAAAGAATATATTCCAGATTATGAGAAACTTAAAGCTACAGTTAGTGATAAAGAAGCATATATAACTGAAATAGAAGAAGAGAAAAAACGATTAGAGGAAGAAAAGGAGCAAGCAGAGAAAGAAAAGGAGCAAGCAGAGGAAGATAATAGACAATATCTCAAGGAGAAACAGATCACTGAAGGTTAGAACATTGTCATCAATATGTATTATGTGAGAGAATTATTCAGAACTTAAAGCTAAAGTGTCTGATAATGAATTGTATACTGCCAAACTAATGAAGGAGAGGGAGCAACTACAGGAGAGAGTTACATCCTTAGAGGAACAACCTATGACTACAAGTAAGAAACTAAGAGTATTATTGTGTGACTGAGTGACTGTATTTTATACAATTGATAGATAATTTGGAAAGTTTGAGCGAGTCCCAAATAGCAGAGAGGAAGTTGTTC